GGCTAATCCCCCGCCCTCCCCCCCGCTTTATCAGATAGCTAAAGGTAGAGATTATGCAACTGGGGACTACAAAGTCATGTTTAGTGGCCTCTCTTCGGGGAGATGTTCAGATAGGTTAAGCGTTGTCTGTGTGATCTCTACCAGCATTCCTCTGCCTGTGGTCTTTAAGAACATACCTAGGGTTGTCTTTCTTGTGAAACTGGGAATGTTTTAGCGTTGATGACGACACCGTGAATGTTTCTTCAGTTACAGTTTGTATTTCCTTTACTCGTTCTTTTATTTTAGGGTTCTTTAGCGTTTGCAGGGAAATTCACAGAAAAATGCAAATTTGCATACTGTGCATCAGTGCATCTTTTAGAAAGCAATACAAAACGGTTATTTTAGGGTTTAAGCTGTAGAGAGAGCTGCCCAAAACCCAAATCAGCTGGTTTAGATTTTTACTTTGCTTGTGTAACTGAAAGCTGGCTTCATTTCTGATCCTAGCATGTTTGACTCATTTATTTCAATTGGGTTCATATGTTCTGCAGTAGCAAGAAGCTAAGCGCTGGTTTGTCAGACTGTTTAGGTTTTATCGGGATTAGAGAGGACTTTGCTGTGGCTTCGTCCTTCTGCCACTCCAGAAGTCCAGTAGAAAAAGATATCATTGTCTCTGGAAAACTCCCTAGAAAAATCTAATTGAGGAAAACTACGCTTACTGTTGGCTCGCTGAAGCCTGCTTGAGCAGGCTTGTCTTCACAAACCAAGGCTGCCTTAGGGTTAGGGTTTTTCAAGGTCTATATCGTTTCCACTGAACGATACAGAAGGTGAGCGGGAATAACTGCCCGTCTGTGGTCCTGCCTAGTCTGAATTTTCAGTGACTTGTGGCAGTGTGCCACACAGTATAAATGAAATGATCTTATATTGCAGCGGGACAAGCCCTGTATGGAGAAGCAGCAAGATCATTACAGTAGTTTTAGGAAGATAGTATAGAAAACATAGTATGGGCTTTATGGAGCTGAGGTGCCTGCTCTGCCTCCTACGTCTCCCGCCGGTATGGCTTGGGAACTTGTTAGCTCCTTGCGCAAGGCAGCGGGCTGAGGGAAGCGTACCATGGCCACAGTCCGTCTTCTGCCTAACTAGGCTGTTCAAAGTCACATCTCTTCCCGGTGCTGTGGCTAAGTTGCTCTTCCCTTCCCGCTTTTGCTATGCTATCTTTTTAGAGTAATTGTGTTGGATGATTTCTCTCATTTTGGGTTCATGCTATTTGTTCTTTCCTCCTTTTCAACCTTCAGGGTTTTCTCTTTTTTGTCCTGTATACTCTCTCCTTGTTTTTCTGACTTGTCTGCGCGTCCTGTCAGTGCGTCTCTCTTTTCTTGCTGCCCTTTCCCCACCTCTCTTTATGTACCATCTCAATCACTTTCCCTCACCCATTGAGATCCATCATCTCAGACATCTACGTGACCCTCTACTACTCACGAAAGAAGCGTTTGTGCACCGATTGGATCACTCTAATTCCCTTTCGACCTGGAAAAGTCACAGTTCCAGCCCCTCTGATGCCGTCTCGGAAGGGCCTTTGTGTCTGTGGAAATATGATGGTGCCAAGTAGGTCACTCTCTTCTGCTCTCTGTCACCTTGACACACCTCCAAGGAGCGCTGGGCCTGGACTGCTTTTGCTTTCCATCTAGCTGTCTTCTCAGAGAAAGAGAAAAGCAGCTCCAGCTGCCTGAATCCCTGGCTCCACCAAGGAGGAAAACTGGAAACGCCATGTAGTCGGGGCTGTTTCATCTTTCCCTTCTGAAAGCAGAACCTTGACTGCCTTGTGGCAGTTCCCCAAGCAGTGCCTTATCCTCCTAATTTCCAATTAATTTGAACTGTAGCTATAATATGACTCTTTGGAGTGGAGATGTTCCTGTTGTGTGTTTGGAAGAGCCGAGAGTAAAGGAATAACTTCCTACAGAAAACATGGCCTTGATCCAAAGTAGGATTCCTGAAAAATGTGCATACTTCTTGGTGTCTTCTAAGCAGCTTGCTTTAAGTAAATAAATATGCATATCACAAACTGCAGTGAGAGAGCACTGAAGCTTGTTCATGAATTAAACTCTGGGGACCTCAGGCTGTCACAAAGAACCACTTGAGCCATTTCTCCCCAGTGAGTTTTCTACTAGCCTTTGACATTGCCACCTCGTGGGTGCCTGCATTGGCTGTGGACATTTCTGCCGTTTTCTAAGGTTTCCTGGATGTGCGTTCAGGCCAAGAAATACTGGAAATAAACTGCCTTAACTCCCATTCTGTGAGACATGCCTAACAGAAGTATGGTTCTTGAGTCCCATTTCTCAAAAGCAAAGTGATGTCCTTTCTGCCCCTTAGTGCCTCTCTTTCGCTAGATTGAAACGTCATCCAGGTAAAGATTATTTGATATGTGAAGGAGAAACCATATGAAGTATACCACAAACTTGTATTTATCCGTGAATGTGCTTGAATAGTGTCCATTTTTGAAGCGCAGCTGTGTTTGTAAGCAGCAGGATTTTTAATGGGTGACAATGTTGAGGAAGGGGGAAGATGGAGAAATGCACCTGGAATGAGAGGGGTCAGTCTGTTTGGCTGTATTAAGGATCTTCTGCGGGAAAAGGCTTCTGGTGCAATTTGCTGGAATTGTTTTAAGTATAGCTGACTTCTAATGTGAAGCGAGATTTGGGTCTCCCTATGTGGATGCAAGATAATAAGCATACATCTAGGTTAACTAAGTCAGTTGCTTTAGCCATCATTTACTCTTTCCTTTCAATTTGACATCTATGTCTATGAAGATTACTGCGTGCTCACAGAGATTCTTGCTGAGCTATACATCATCCCTATTCTGTCTCAGAGCGAATGTTGAAGTCTTATGATACTAAATTTAATATGACAGCTCCTATTGCTGGGAGTCGTACAATTTACATTTTTTTCCATCGAAAGGCCTTTAAAACATTTGGAGAAGGAATAGTAAAATCAAGTCATTGTGACTTAACCTTATTTTCGTTTCTGTAATAACATTCACTTAGATTCTGGCTGTGGGAATTGTATAGTGAGGCTTTTGCAGGCACTGCTAGAGCTAAAAGGGAAAATGAAGAGATGACTACGTCCCTCTGCGTATCTCCATTTGTCCCAACAACACACAGAAGCGCCAGTATTTCTGTTTATGAAATGGAGAGTTCAAGGCATATCGGGCAGGCATGTTCTCTGGGTTTTCACTCCCTGATCCGTGCTGGCTGACTTAGGGGAGACATGGGAAACTTCCCGTGTAGCATCACTGCTCGCTGCTGACAGCCACCTCCAGCTAATTCACGCTCCTCTTGCAGGTGGAAATTCAACCAAGGCTGTCACTGCTTGCTGAGCTGCCTGCTATAGGGTTTTTTTCCCCCCTATCTCTGCTCTACACTTTTCTTCCTCTCCTGGGGCCTGTTCTGTATTAATAAACACTGTTAAGTTAAATGAAGACTGCAGGTGAAAACAATGTGCTCACACCTGCTGGAAAGTACTGTCCCAGCTGTGGGAAAAGTAAGAGATGCAGCCTCCTATGGTGCTGGTCTGTTATTGTTCCCCAGGATTGTGCGTGAGCCTGACGGGCACTGTCTCCTTGTCCAGACTGACCTCATAGAAACTCAAGATTTTTTTCCTGATATGTGCACATAGTGACTTCTGTTAATGCCAGGTATTGAGAGAGTGTTCTGACAAAAAAAAAAAAAAAAGGAGGGAGGGGGAGAAAAAAAGAAAATGGGAATGAACTTGTGAGGTAGTAGAGCATTCTTGTTCCAACCACATCAGTGAGATGCATCGTGCATTTATTTGGTTTGATCTCTTCGCTTTATTAAGTACCGTAAAAAGGAAGGCGTAAGCTGAGGTCAGGGAAGCCACCGAGGGCCTCGGTTTGCCCCTGGATAATGGTGGTTTACGTTGTGCCGTAAGGCTGCGTCTGAGGAGCAGGCGAGCGTTCTCCTGCCGTGTCGTTGCCTTGGTCAGATTCTGGAGATGGCAGCGCGGCTCGTTTCCCCGTTCTCGCTGGAGCCTGGTGTTTGATACCGGAGCACGTGGCAGCCGCGTAGCAGGATAGTCAGGTGCATCCATACAGCCACATATGGAGGGAGAGAAAGGGACCGTCCGGGCAAAGCGCGCCTCTTCCCTCTTTCCAGCGCTGCTTTCCTTTCGGCAATCTCATCTGCAGAGAGAGGTTTGTTACCTGGCAGGAGAATCCCTGTTTCGCATGCAGCGATGCTCTCTTGAGAACAAAACTTTGTGTTAAAGAGCAATGCTTTGATTCCCTCAGAGATATTTTACTGCTCCAATAAGTGAATGTGGTCTTCAGTTTTGATTTCTTTCCTAGAAACCTTCAGCATTAATTACCAGTTTGCTACACCTTCTTGAAAGTTCTGTTTAAAATTCGGGTATTTTTTAAGGTCAGGATGGAGTATTTCTCCTGGGGTTGATGACCCCGCCGCTTTGCGCAGCCCGCCTGAGCGCGCACTGGCAGCGGCGTCTGCCTCGGGGGGCCGGGCTCTTGCGCAGCGCCAGGGAAACATCTGCTCCAAAACGGTTTTGATCTGCTTGGGGGGACTTTGGGCAGGCCACACGCTGCCAAGCGGAGGCAACTCTAATCCAGGAGGGAAAGTTTCAGATCCCTTGATGAAGCTCTTTTGTTGACTACAAAGCTTTTTTTTTTTTTTTTTTCTCCTGCCTTCCAGATGACCGGGTTGATCAGCGAACCTGCCTTATCTGCGGAGACAGAGCTACAGGTCTGCACTACGGGATCATCTCCTGCGAGGGCTGCAAGGGGTTTTTCAAAAGGAGCATTTGCAACAAGCGGGTTTACAGATGCAGCCGGGACAAGAACTGCGTCATGTCGCGCAAACAGCGGAACAGATGCCAGTACTGCCGGCTGCTCAAATGCCTCCAGATGGGCATGAACCGCAAAGGTACGGAGTGCCGTGGGCTGCGTCCCAGCGGCCGGTGCTCGCTGGCACCGCGTGCGTTCAGCTCCTGGCGGCCCCTGGCCGGGCTCTGACGCTGGCATGTCCCCAGCTGGCTCTGGTGACACGTCTTTGCGCTCAGCTTTCAGCAAGGCTGTGGTCTTTCACCACTATCGTTGTGGAGGGATTTTTCCAAGTCTCCTTTTATGTTTAGAAGAAAACGTTAGGTCTTTTGAATACTCACGTAGTGATAAACTGGCAGCATCTAGTAGATCCCAGGCAGGTGTTTGTGCTGCCGTGTGCCTGCGAGACTCACCAGTTTCGACGATGAATACTCCTCTTTCTCAGCTGCCATTTTGCATTTCAGTGCTGCCTTTAAAGTTTTGTCTTTAAAAGAAAACATCAAACTTCAGCAAAACTTTGTGTGGATACTTCAGAAATTCTTCCCGAACCGTTTAGTTACTCTATTGGAGGAAAAATCTGTGCGAAATGAAAATGTTTTTATGTATTTGGAAAACTAATCATTATGACTTGTTTTTTAGTGTCTAAGTTTATTACTGTGCTTCCTGATGTATCTACCACTGCATTTATCCCGTGCTGGGCAGTGTCTGTTTATGCCCCAATTACTGACGTGAGAAAAACGACTACCCTTAAATAAGCTTTTAAAATCCCAAGTGACCTGAGTCGGACTTTACATGTTAATTGTTGTGAGAGCTTAGTGTTTCAATTGCTGCCCAGCGATAGGCTAGAAGTCTCTTCCCTTTACTGTACGCTTCTGGTTGATGACACGCAACTGTGAGCAGGCCGCTCGCGTGGTGGGCTCCTGACTGCAGAGGCTGTTTTGTCGGGTACCGCGTCGCCAAGGAGAGCAGCGCAGTCTGGAGCACAAGCTGTCCTAGGGCAGGGACAGCTGTCGCTTTGTCCCCTTAGCAGCTGATGGGCAGAGCTGATGAAACTCTCCAGGCGCATCTTCAGGATGCCCACTGAAAAATCTTCAGAAGTTCAGAAACTGAGAATAAAAAAACGTCAGTGTTCGTGTCTCTAGTCCTCACTCCAATCTTTTGCCTACTTAATCAGGGGAAATGTGGTCTTTACCTTTTAAAATAGAGATTTCCTAGGTTAAGGACAACAAGCGCGAGTAGAAGGAGGTGCTCTGTAAGACGGTGAGGTTCAGGCTCACCCTTCGCTCTGCAGATGGGGCAGCTGTGGGCAGGACTGCCTGCTGGCCTCACAAACACAAGCTTCTTGTCTTGCTTTTTAAAAATAGCTATTGATGCCTTTAATATCATAATTGATATGAAAGCCATTTGTAAAAAGCATTGAAACTTCCGTAAACGTGCTGCAAATCCATTAGGATCTTTCTTGCAAAAAGTATTTTGAGGATGAGATAGAAAGTTCATATCCTGACTACTTTGATTACAAACTGTCTTTGGGAATTTCATTTGATGGAGGATGCATGTAGTCCCCAATCTTTTTTTTTTCTTTTTTTTTTTCTTTTTTTTAAACCTGAAGAATGTAATTCTGGGTGACCAGCAACCACTAGAGCTGAAATTACCCAGTTAGTCTCCTAGGTACTATGCTTTGCCATCCTCTTTCTTTTCCTCTTGTATTTCTTCTGAATGTGTGTGTTGTAACACTGGATTTGCCGGTGAGATGTTTTTGCAGTCGTCAGAGAGGCAGTGCCTACCCGCAGCGGTTGTCACGGCTTCGTCAGAGCTGCGCGCGTTCGGGTGTTGAACACTGACCTTCCAGCGTTTCAGTCTTCGCTGGCTCTGTGGCCGTGGGGTCTCGTTAAGTGATGCAGCCTTCCCCCCTCCCCAGCTGCCTTATCCCATGGCCTTTCCAGCCTGCAGAGACTGAGTCCAGCCTTTCCGTTACCACTGGCCCGAAGCTCAGTCCTCTGGCTGGCTCTGAACGTGGGAGGTGCCCAGAAGGTGAACAGGCTCTTTCTCGTTGTGAGCTAGAGGGCAATCTTCTGTGGGTTCATTCATTTTTTAAAAGTGTCTGTAATGTGAACTAATCACGTCTTGTCATCAGAATTTTATAATCAGAATATTTTATTTTACATCTTTGTAAAGCCTTCTCGTCAGCTTCTATAATAATCCTTCAAGCACAGCATGACAGTGATTCGCTTGAAAGGCTCTTAGAAGCTGGAGCCTTCAGATGGTATTTCAGAAGCTATTTTTTTCCCCAGAGCGTTCAGATAGTTCAGAGGTATGTTTTTGTCTATTGCCTATACCTATTCAGCACTTTTATTTATTGGGTAGTCTCTTTCAACCTTACCTTTTTCCTGACTTACAGTTCTCTCAGTAAGCAGCAGATAGGCCAATCTGTCTAGTTCTGTCCTTCCATAAGGCAAATCCTGGACACAGGTACGTTGCTTATGTCGACAAGATTTTCCTGGTGCTGTGAGAGGCCGTTTGTACTCATTTCCGATGTGGAAAAGGTGTTGCGGGAGATCTGTCTTAGTCCTGTCCTAACAGCAGATCTCAGCTGTTTTAGAGCTTTTTGCTGTGGGCTCATGTACGGGGAAAGCGTGCCATCTCCTGGCTGTGCTGGGGAGTGCCAGGCTGAAACCAGGGCTGCCCATACTGGCAGTTGCCTTTTCCCTCTCTTTTTTTCTGCATTAATTTCAACTTACTACCAGTGCCTTAACAGAGGATGAGGACCAGATGTCCTAAGGAAAGTAGAAAGAGTGACTGATACTTAGGTTACTTATAGCTGTTTGCAAGTGCTTCAGGCTGGGTTTTAAGGAATAATTGGTACGTTTACAGGGAATTTTCAGCTAAACACAAACATTTCAAGAGTTTATGTCAAGCAAACCTACAAAACACGAAATAGAAGTTGTTTAGGAAGGGAAGAGGTGTTGAGGAAGACCTTGCCCCTCGCGTACCATGTTCAG